TTATTTTATTATTTTTTTATTATAGGATTCCATTGCACTACAACTGTGTGCACTTTATTGTTGTATTGTTCAATACAATTCATTTTTGAACTTGATAATAAAAATATATTGGAAAGAAGAAATTTGTGTTTTATTCATGGAGATAAATTAGCATTAATTGCTATATAGGTCAAATTATGGGGAGATAATCGATAATCGAATCGAAATCGAATCGAATCGGATTTAAAAATGAATCGTTAGATTAATCGATGCATCGAAAAACTATTTTCTAGATTTATCTATTGCAAAAATAATCGTTTAACCCAGCCCTACTTACAAAGGGACTCTGCTGCGGTTTGTTTCTGTCCGCAGTCTCATGATTGATCTTGATAAAAGCCTCGTATATAACCTATTTATGTTAATGAATACATGTAACCATGGTAACACATATGCACATCACTGAGGGTATTTTCCCTGATTAAACAGCTGTTAAAATGGACATCATTGTATCTGACTCTCTCTTGTATCTGTACTTTGTCTGTTCATTGGGTTCATTAAAAGGTGTGTGAGAGTGATCCCACAGTATGAAGCCTCGAATCATTACTGTACAAGACGCCTTCTTTTCATCCTGTCTCTATTTTATTCACTATTCAGAACATGCGATTGATTTACAGTCTAATAACAGCCTCCTAATAATGCTAACAATCAGTTATTTTTCTATGAGGTCTGTGTGAAACCAAATAACATAAATATAAACTCTTTCAGATCACTAAAGTGCTGCTGCATGAACGTCTGAATCTGTTTTTAAATCCTTGTGCACTCATGTGAGCTAGCTAAAGCTAAGTCACTGTGTGGAGACTAGTGGTGGGGAAAAATTGATACAGCACAGTATCGTGATATTTTTGTGTGGCAATATTGTATCGTCACTCAGTGCCAAGTATCGATTTTTTAATTATATATATGATTAATATTACAAATACAAACTTAGCTTTAGGTGATCTACTGGAATAATGTGATCAATTGCTTTTACAGTCCAATAGATACATTTGCTGCTGCAAAAAATGGCTGACACGAGATGAACAGACTGAAAACTTTATTAGATAAAACAGATGCTGACAAAGTTTTCCATTGGGGACAATATTTACAGTTGAAAAAAGGTAATAAATCGCAATATTTTTTTAAATCCTAACACTCGGCATATTGCAACATGTTTAAGTACCGTGATAATATATCGAGAATCCTCTGGTGATTCTGACCCCTAATTGCTCTGTTTTTTATACTAAACAAGCACAGAGGTGCAGGTAACGGCTTCTACTGACAAAGGAAACTGAGCTCTCCATATCTGCAAGAATACATGCATGCAGATCGAGAGGAACCCAGAGAGAGGGAAAAAACTGTGGTATAAACCTTCCAGTGAGAGAGCAGACTGTGTCTGAAGAGCCTGTATGGATCTGCACATGTGTGACTGTGAAGCAGGACAAAACCTCAGCAACGTTTTTATTTTGATAGAAAAAATAAAAAAAAAAGTCAGTGTGCCACTTTTTATGAAATCCTGCTGAATGCATTGTTTTACCGTCCCTTATCAACTAAGAGAGGGTCTCGATTTAAAGTCAATGCACAGCAGAGTTTAGCATTTAATGTCCTTCGGGAGATTCATTGTGCTGGAGCAGCTCAGAAAACAGTGCACAGGATGCAAAACATTCCCAGCTTTACAAGATTTATAGTAAAAATGAAGAGTCCCCACAGTGCCGGGGCCAAGACAGAAACCGATACTCAGCACGGGCAGCATATAATCCACCTTAATGTGAGTTTAACAACAGTCCTGTCATGTGCAGCAGAGTGCTGCTGCTGCTGCTGCTGCTGCAGACAGACGAATGTAAGTGGGAGAGATTTTAATGACAGGAGGAAAAAAAAAAAACTAAACCCCTGCAGGTCATAAATGTTTGCACAATTGTCCGTCTGCACGCTGAATGTCCTGAAAACATCGCGCTGGTGTCATGGTGTTAAAAGCGCTGTTAGTAATGATGCCTCACAATTAATTGGCTGATGATGAGGCTAGTTATGATGTAATCTCTCTGACTCTCTCTCCCCTGCACACTGCCAGCCCCCTCCCTCTCTCTCCGTATCCCCACCTCTTTCTCTGTCTTTCTCTCCTATCCTAACCAACATGGCCGCTAAGTCGGATGGAGCAGCGGTGTCTGTGGAAGATGACAACACGCCCAGGAGCCTCTCGGAGCCGGGGAACCCCGCCGCCCGGCCCCGCTGCAGCGCCGCCGGCGGGAAACCCTACACCCTGCTGGACTGCTGCTGGGTGCTCTGCGCCCTGCTCGTCTTTTTCTCCGACGGCGCGACCGACCTGTGGCTGGCCGCCGACTACTACCTGAGAGGTGACTACTGGTGGTTCGGCTTGACGCTCGTCTTCGTCGTGGTGCCCTCCGCTGTGGTCCAGGTATTGAGTTTCAGGTGGTTCGTGTACGACTACTCGGATATGAGCGGCGGGGACGGAGCAGCGAGCGGCAGCGGGACCGACGCGGCGGCGGCAGGCGCGGCAGGCGAAGCAGCCACGGCGGGCGACAGCACTTTAAGCACCAAGGACAGCGACCAGCGCGGTGGGAGCGCGGCGGCGGGGAACGCCGCGAATGCTACCCCGGTTTACACATCCTCTGCCCCGCCTGCGACGGCAGGGAGAGTCGGGGGCCCCCCGAGGTGCTGCACCGTCTGCATGTGGGTCTTTCAAACCGTGCTTCACGTCCTGCAGCTGGGGCAAGTCTGGAGGTAGGACCGCTGGGGTCGGTGTGGGGAACAAGAGGGGCGTGCGTGTGTGCATACGTGCTGCTGGTGTGTGTTTAATATGTGCACATGTGAGAATTGCATTCCCGACAGGATAGTGGTGGAGATGTGTGTGTGTGTGTACGTGCTCACTACGTGCGTGCGTGTGCGTGCGTACATGCCCCTTCATGTGCATTGCATGTGTGCGCTTATCCCCCGAAATATTACCTTTCCTTCTCATGCGCTGGGGACAGACATGTGCAGAAATCGAGCAGGAGAGAGTGGGAAACGTTTTTTCAGAGCTGATTCTGTAGCATTCACTTCCACACAACACTTCAGCACTGATAGTAAAAATATGAATTACTCTCCCATGTGGCTTTTTGTCCATCTGCCCTTCTTGTCCTGACTGTGACAGAATCTGGACATTTGCGTTCAGCCGCCTGAGCTCTAACATGCAGTTTCCTCTTCTGGTTCCTGTGTCTGTCATGGTCCGGACATGCTGACAGGAATATTATTAAAAGCCCTGCGCTCCGCTCCTCTTCTTCTCCTCTGGCTGCTTGTCATGTTAGTGATCTTGAAACTGAATCTTTTTCTTCCTCCACACTTGATGAAATGTTAAGTGAGAGGATGCATGGGCAAAACCTTTAAAGGAGTACTCCACCCTCAACACATCCAAACTAATGTCCTATCCTGTGCTTTGAACTGTTTGTATTCCCCGTTAGATATGTGCTCTGCTTTGATTAAAATTCCTCCAGAGCCACGTTCGCTTGATGTGAGACAACGTGTTGACTTGAATATGAAAGTTTCACAGCACCCAGAGTCTCTAATCATTTTTCAGACATTGTGAAACATAATTAGTATCATGATACTTCAGGCTCACACATCATCAGGTTGTTGCCTCATCACACATGATATACAATACTGAGAACACAGTGTGTGTTAAGTCTGTATACCACGAGAAATGATCTCTAATAACATATGAAGAGACAGAAATGAGATATTTTATATGCAGCGCTGGAGCTGGAGTCAAGTCCTCTTAAGTCAAGTCTGAGCAGCTTCCAGACTGATTCAAGACAGAGTCTAAATGGAGGTCGAGTCCAAGTTGAGACAGAGACCAAATGTTCACAGTGAGAGTCGACTGTGATGTTAGTTCAGTCCTTTGGGTTTAGAAGAGTTTTAAATACTGAACAGGAAACTGCGTTTGCATAAATGTTTTATGATTTGCTGAAGTCTTTAAAACAGCTCTGACAAATGTATAATGAATATATAGAACAGCTGTGTCAAACATACGGCCCGAGGGCCAGAACCGGCCCACTGGAGGACTTCACACACCTAATATTGAAGCAGCTGTGAAAGCTAAAGCCCTGTTTCCACTGAACAGTCTGGTTCAGTTCAGTTCAGTTCAGTTCGCTTTTTTCCCCATTTCCACTGTGAAAAGCTGTGGATGGTACCAATTGAACCTTTCCGTACCGTCCCCATGTTTGGCCCCCCCTCTGTTGGGGTACCTAGCACACAGATCTGGTTCTAAAAGGTGGAGCTGTGAACACTGCAGTCTGATTGGTCAGTAGAGGACGGTCACTCTGCTCAGGGCTGAGTTGTGTCTGGTTTTGAGGCTCATGTAACCACTGTTCATACTGTGGAGAGTTTTATTAGTAAACTGTAACTATAAAATGAAAGGATGTTTTGCTGCCTCTCACAGCAGCTGGAGTCTGAGAAAAAATAACTTCATTCACTGGGCCGACTGCCGGTGACTTTTAAGGTGGAACGTTAACTTGTAATGTTACTCAATGCTTGAGTTGATGACGTGAATCCATCAGCACACCTTAAATTTCACTGTGACAACTTTGATCATCACTTTAGTTTTTATATGACAGACACTTTTAGTAATGAGTGGATCTTCAAACGTTTATATATATTTATTACGGCTGGGTGAACTGCATATATTCTAATCCTCACCCGGAGAAAAAAAAAGCATTGTGGAGCTACAGCAACACTAAACCCCTGAGCTTGCCTGAGAAGGACTAAATGCACAAAGCTGGTATTTTTAAATATCCCATGGAGAGAGACTCTCACTGCAGCCTGCTTTATTTTGTTCTGAAAATGTGGGCGTGCAGCCTCGTTCTGTGGACGATAAACCAGGTGCAGACTTCTATCTGTGTCACCGCTGATGAGGAAATACAGCAAGTGCTGGACGGAGCAGTGAGTGACAACAACCCCGCCCACATTTAAGAGGACTGTCTGTGGTGGAAACACTAAACAGACCGAGGGAAAAGGTGCCATGTCTGAAGGGTTACTGTTGGTTCCAAAGGTACTGTACTGAGTGTTGGTGGAAACGGGGCTTAAGAGCTGCAGCTTTTAGAAGCAAGTTAAATGTTTGTATTACTCTACAGTGGTTTTATATTTGCACATTTCACACTTATCATATCAACTAAGGATGCACGATATTGGATTTTTTGCTGATATCTGATATGCTGATATGTAACATCTCATTTGACCAATAACTGATACAGATATTGATATATCCATTTTTCCCCACCTAATTTTAGTGATCATCAAGTCTCTTCTGTGGTGGAGTTAACATCATATTATGCAATATTCACAATTCTGATAGTTTATTTTAAAGCCATTATCGGCCGATACCCATGACAAGCCAATATTATGGCGCATCCCTAATATCAGCGTTTCTAAATTTACATAGTATGGGAGGTGGAGAGGATGGTATATGGTGTGACACCTGAGCAAGACGCCAGCCAAGCTGCAGACGACTCTTTAAGGTCAACAAAATCTGTGTTTTAGCAAGTCAACGCTGTTTTCCAGCAGCTTTTCAAGCAAGAAACGTGGGTGTTTTTTACCAAGACGTTGCTGCTTTTCCGTCCGGGATTGTGCTCCCAAACCGAGTACTTCAAACCAATACACGATCTTTTATTAACCGTAACCAAGTGGTGTTTGTGCTTAAACCTAACCGCACATTAACCACAGCATTGTTGAAACATAAAGATCCAGTGTATCCACTGAGTTGAGTGCAGTGCAGAGCGACAGCGATTGTGGAATACGCTCATGGGAATCACATGCACTAAAAAGCACGCACAGCTGGACTGTTTATTGTAACAAACCACAGAGAAGCTCAGATTCCAACACACACACAGGTAGCTTGGCTTCATTCTCTGCTCAGGACACCATCACTCCATCTTTGCATAGCACTTAGATGTTTGCTGCTATATTAATACTCTGAATGTGGTATGGTGCTCCTTTAAAGTAGGATTTCAAATGCAGGACTTTTACTTGTAATGAAGTATTTTAAGTCACAGAGTTGCAGCTTTTATTTAGTAAAGGTTGAGTATTTCTTCTATATCTCAATTTACATGTGTGCATAAAACAACCTGTCCAAAATGAGGATGTTCACATGGCAAAGATGCACCGTAGAACACAAGCAACCCCTGCACTGTAGTGCTGAAGAACCCTGCTGCACAAACACCTGACTGACAGCAGAGCAGCCATTGATGCTCGGCAGTACAGCCAAATCTGAAAAGAGGAGGGAAAAAAAAGCCAACTGGACTTAATCAAAACCAAAGTCTGAAACAGGTCAGAGTCCAAACACCTACAAGACTGAGACAAGACTGAGATGATAGAGGAAAAACATCCCAAGGCCAGACACGAGACCCAGACCAGGAGTGAGTAATGCAGTACTAATCTACAAGTGTTGGAAACAATAATGGAACATCCTGCAGTAGCTTTGAAAAACACACAAACAGTCACAAAGTATTTTAGAATCTGCTCTCAACCCTGCAGCGTTGGTAATGAAAAACCTTTTTTATTGAATATATTTTCCAGCAAGAATCAAGTGAAAAAAGGAAGCTTTTATTCTCTGCTTGTTCACGTCATGTCGATGTGGAGAGCTGTTGGAGGAAGTCGTGCATCTCTGTGTTTTAAGTTGAGTCACCTTTCAGGAAAATGGAACATGATTCCAAAAATGACAAAACAAGCTGTTGGTTTTAACCTCCTATAACAGGTCAAAGGTCAGACTCAGTGGAGAAAGAAATGTTTGCTCAGAGACACTTGAACAAAGGCTGCTGGATAGAATAAAACTATTCCGATTGTGCCTGTGATGATTTCTGCCCCTCAGAGAACTGAAATCACTTCTCTGTGTGAGCAAATGAGCGCACCACCCCGCTGAAGTGTCCTTGAGCCCTTAAACTTGCCGCTCCCGGGCTGCAGCTGACCTCTGACCTCTCTGTGACGGCAGAGGAAGACACATTTTTTTCCGAGGGATGTTACATCAACTAATTCAGAAATAGAGCATGTGGGAATTCACACGAGTATAATTACATGCAGGCTCAGTAATGAACTGCATTAATGAACAACAATAAGATGCTGAGAGCTGGAGAATGAGAATGAGTTGATTTTAATGTGATAGTTGCTGCCGGGAGAGTTGGACAGTGTTGAGTGTGACTGGGATTTGAGTCTGACTCCGGTTTTAAATCTGATGAGCCGAGATGTATTCAGCACATGTGGAAATGAGTTCCACCTGCAGCTGAACATTTCATTTTTCTCTCCCCGTGTGATTAAGATCTGATCTTCTCATCAGCTGGAGCTGCAGAGAGCCTTGTTTTCTCAGTTCACATCTGGTCCCCACAGTTTGTTCAACAGAGTCAAATGGTACACTATAAAACCTTTATGTGGAATGCATTTTAATTCTCAACGCTGGGATTTGTTGGCTCATGTCTCATGTCAATGTCATGATAAATTTGTGTCATCATTTTGCATCATAGTAGCTCTGCAGAGCCAGAGTGAGGAGACGATACTGAAACACAACAATGGAGAGAAAGAAAGATTATTTGACTGGCATTTAGGGAGAGGTGTAAAATCAATACTGGTGAATATTTGCATCGGATTGGAGTTAGTTTTTGGCATAAACTACTAGATCTCACATTCGCTTATTAAAAACAGACAAGAGATCTCAGGTATTTTGGGTGCCTCGTTGTGATATTCCATCCATTTTCAGCTTA